CAGTTTGCTAATATTTTAAAGATTTATCTTATCATTTATTTATGTGTGTGGGTGTGTGCACATGAGTGAATGGGCCTGTGGAAGCCAGAAGAGGGCATCAGATTCTGTGGAGCTGAAGTTAACAGGTGGTGAGAGCTGCCCAGTATGGGCGCTGGGAACCAAACTCGGGTCTGCTGCAAGAGCACACGTGGTCTTAAGTGCTGTGTACATTTCCCGTCTTAGAAGGCTGCCTTCACAGATAGCCAGCTCTCTGAATAAAGCACAGCTTCCTGTCCCTGCACACTGGCCTTTATTGTGACAGGAAGCATGAGGTCTAATATCCTGCATCCAGTCACATTTTTCTGCTCTGTGGATGACTAGTAATTTCCAGACAAATGCTAGACAACATTTGACTACTGCAAGGCATCATGAGCTGCTCAGCTCTTCCCTGCCCCAGGCCTCTGTGCAGAGATCACAATACCCCACCAATACTAACCCGTGACTCTTCTCTTGAAAGGCGTGCCTTGCTCAAGGTTTAAAAACAGTTGATTCAGGCTTCCTCAGTTTCAAAGTAACCGCTTCTCTTTTACTCCTTTCTTTTGCTTTGGGAGACAGGGTCTCTTTGTGTGTGTGTGTGTGTGTGTGTGTTTGGCTTGGGGGTTCTCTATGTAGCTCAAGCGTCCTCCTGTCTGCACCAAGAGCACTGGGACAGATGTGTGCCAACATACCAGATTCTGCCAGTTCTCTTTGCATGAACACATGGACTGTTTCTAGTGTCCCCACCATTCCCAGGGCAGCCATGGGCATCGCTGCACATACTCCCTGTTCTTGGCTCTCTCCTTCCGGATCAAACTGGGAGTGGACTTAAACAGCCTCCTTACCTACTTACAAGCAATTTTCCAGACAGGTTTCCCCACTGGGCAGCTCAACACAGTAGGGCTGTCCACTGAGCTCATGATCTACAGTCCTCCTAGCCTTCATGGGGTGGCCAGTGTTGGCCTTCAGGATGCTCCTTCCAGGGAGTGCTCTGCCACTCCTTCCCAAGGCGAGCACCCTTGCCTCTCTCCACCCGTCTTCACAGATGCCCCTTTCCCTCTCTGTAAAGGGCAGGTGCTGCCCGTGCTTGCCTAGTTTGGAGCCCAGGGTCTCCTGCGTTCCCAGAAACTTCCTTAGATCAATGACATGGGGCTCTTTCCTGGGTCCAATTCCCTCCCAAAGGTCAGGGGTTCCAATGATCCAGGAAACGGAAGAACTGTCCCCACTGGTCCCTCTTCTGTGGCTGTGTCCTTGAGCTGTCCCAGGAGTAGTATTGGGCCAAAGCTCAGCTCTGCCACTGTGACCTGGGCCAGGGAGCCACTGTGTGTGGTGAGAGACTGAAGGACTCGGGCTTCTTGTGAAGGCTGGGAGGATGCAGACAGGCTGGCTGGAGCATCCTTGCTACTACAGCCAGAGGAGCATTACGGAGGAATAGACAGGCGAGAGAGGCCAGTGGAGTCTCTGGGATAGCAAGCAGACAGGATGCAGGGAGTCAAGGGGGCTGTGAGGATGGAGCTGGACGCAAAGAGGCGCTGGAGGAGTGGACACAGACTGTGGATGGGCAAGGAGCCGGCGCTGCAAAGGTGGAGGACAGGGGAGAGTGTGGAGCTCTTGTGCCCCTCTGACCTGCCTAGACACCAGTGTGGAGAGAGGGTATATTTATGGGCCCAAGAAGGGGCAGTGTGGCTGGAAGGAGTAGACTTCAAGGACTTCCACGGAGGTGGTTCCTGGAACCTGGGCCAGCAGGAAGTGGCCAGAAAGGCCAGATGTGGACAGTTGGCTTTGGCCCTGGTTCCTGATTCCAGGGGGTCCCAGAGGAAAGTGGCCAAAGCTAAATAGGAGCAGGGGAGATGAGAGGGCTACTGTAAACACCAGACTGAGCTATGGCAAGGTGTCTGGGATAGCAGCCTGGACCTTGGGGCCAAAGAGTCTGAGTAGAGACCAAGAGCGGTTGTCACGTGCTTCTGCCTCGGCGTCTGCACCCTGGAAAGCCCCAGGTGGCTGACTGTGTCAGCATCTTCCTGACTGACCAGCAGACCATAGGTCTCTGTTCTCTTTTTGGCTGCTGGCCTCCCTGTCCAGTCCACCCCCTCCCCCCACATCTGGAGTGGCAGTCACCACCCGGATCTCAATCAGCCCAGCGCTGCTCCGTTTCTGGTGGTTAGCTTCCTTCCTTCTTGCCTCTCAGCAGCTCCCTCCCGGACAGCCTTAGAGTCTGTTCCTCGGAGCTTCTCTGTCCTCTGTCCACACAATACACAGCTCTCTCTGCACAGAGTGTGTCTGTGGCCATGGCTGTGCTAATGGCACCTGGCACGCCTCACCAACAGTGGACCTGATGGTTCAACTTGTGCCCTTAACAGAGAATGCCCTTCCGATATGTCTTCTTCATCCTTCAGAAGTCCATCTGTCATGGACATCCCGCAGGAGCCTTGAGCACTGGGCCACGGAAGTCTGGCTTTTAGAATGGTTTCCCTCACTGGGGAAGCTTGGGGCATGGTGGACGAGTGAGAACACTGGTGACTCAGGTGACTCAGACCTCACCTGCCTCTTCTAGGACTGAGACCAAACTGTTCCCACAGCTTCACTTCCCACCCTCCACACAGCAGAAAGAAGAACTAGCATGGGGAAATCCCAGATGCTGGAGCCTGTTCCAGGAGGGCCACAGCAGGGACGGCAGCTCCTGCAGAGGTCAGTCCTCAAGAGGACGGCTGGGTGGCAGGGAGAGGATTTAGGGAGAATCCGTGGCTTGGGTCTTCCGCCTCTGTGGAGAGCTTTGTCATGGACGTCTGTGTCTGTGATCAGATCTCCTCTGCCTTAGATTCCCAACTGCAACTGGGAGAAGAGCTGTGCCCAGGGTACCCTTCCCAACCCCCGGAGTGGGTAATCGGCCAGCAGGAGGCCTCGGGGCCTCTGGGGTTAGGGTCTGGGTCGAAGAGCTGAAAGGATTTCAGTGGTTATAGATGGGCAGTGCTGGCTGACTGCAGTGCCAGGAGCTTTGTAATGGGATGTCCCTGTCCCGGGTTTGCTTTCACTTCCTGTGGCTTTTACTTACTGCAGGGGCACACAGGTGGCTGTAACATACAGCAGACTCTCTTTTTTTTTTTTTTTTTTTTTGTCCCTTTGGGATGGAATTCTGGAGCGCTGGCTAGTTTCATGCCGACTTGATACAAGTTAGACTCATCCGAAAGGAGGGAACTTCAATTGAGGAAATGCCTCCATAAGATCTGGCCAAAGGGCATTTTCTTAGTGACTGATGGGGAGGGCCCAGCCCATTGCATTTGGAGCAGTGCCATCCCTGGGCTGTGGTCCTGGGTTCTGTAAGAAAGCAGCTGAGCAAGCATAGGGAGCAAGCCAGTAATCAGCACTCCTCCACGGCCTCTGCATCAGCTCCTGCCTCCAGGTTCCAGCCCTGCCTGAGTTCCTCCCTGACTCCCTCCAGCGATGGACTACAATGTGGGAGTGTGAGCCGAATAAACCCTTTTCTCCCCAACTTGCTTTGGTCACGGTGCTTCATCACAGAGATAGTAACCCAAACTTGGACAACTAGTCAGGACCGAGAAAGAGCTATCAGGGGTGGGTCAAGGCCATGTTCCTCCAGACTGGCTAATGCTGGGAACAATTGCAGGCTGGGTTGGCAAAAGCAAGCAAGAGGACTTCCTGGAGGCAGCCCACTTGGTTCTGTTGTTTTGTTTTGTTTTGCACAGCTGGCAAATGAGTGTATCCCTGGTTTAGGCAAAGCCCCAGGGATCTTCCCTCAAGACTGCTTGTTGTTGCTACACTGCCTTTCCATGCCTGTCTCAGATACCTGAGGTGGAATAGAGACTCCCTCATGCCTATTGCTCCAGACCTGCTACTCTCTCTCCTGTGAACTCTTGTGAAGATGATCTTCTAATTCCTCGTGATGATTTCTGAACTGATTCAAGTAACTTCTACCCTCTTGCAAATTAGCTAAAAGCTCTGGGAAGCTCTTCACCAAGAAGGAAAACAAAATTGAAACAAATAATCAGGAATTATTTCTTCTAGGTTTAGTGCAGGGATAAGGCCCAGGTGTACACCATGATGAAAGAGACCATATGAATATAGAAACAAAGAAGAAAAGGTTAGCAATACAAAACAAGACAGACATGTGTTTCTTAGGAAAACCTTGACGTAAAAAACTTTCGCTTTGAACACATAATGTACATTTGAAATAAGAAAAAAAACCCTTCTGCTTTGAACTCATAATGAGCTTCTAGCTAAAACCACTGCTTTCAACGTATAATAAAAATGCGCAGGTGTACATAGTTATACTGAAGGAACTTACCTACAATCAGTAGTTCTACCGCAGCTCATCTCTGTGTAATGATTGTATCAATTCTTGAATGAACCTTTGTCTTAGATGGTGTAAAACCCAGGGCAGAAAACTCCAGGTGATTGGAGTTTTCCTCCATTCACCACCCACCAAATGTGTGTCCATCTGTCTGATTGTCTGTATGTAAGTCTACATGAATACATATGTACGAGTGTGTAAATATGTCTATGTTCACGTGCATGAACAATGGGGCCCACTTGAATGTGTGTATGAGTGTGTGCATGTCTGATTCTTTGCATGTATGTACGTATGAACTGATACTATTCAAGGTGTGGGGATGCATGATTCTCTCTCTCTTTGGCTCATAAAGAGTTAATGTGCTTTGAGCCTCAGAGCCTCGGAGCCCTTGCTGGGGCTCTGTTGTTCATCCCTGAGTAAAAGAGCCAGAAGTTTCTCCATAGTGTAAGTAATTAAGTCGTAAACCCTGAGAAAAAAGTCTGAAGAATAATTAATCCTCCTACTCTGTGTACATCTCCTGTCTTTCCCCCTACGTGTTGAAGCTGGACTTTGACAGGCTCACAGTGTTCTAGGTGTGGTCAGGACTTTTTTTTTTATGAGGAAAAGAGTCCTAGAGCTGGGCTGCCAGCCCAACCTGTGAGGTGGCTGGGTGGAGCAACGTGTGTGGTAAATTTTAACCGTCAGAGACGGGAGACAGAGCACAGTGCAGGTCAAAGGATCTTGAGGCGCTTGATTTGCTCTGTTCCTTTGGAGCGGCTCGGTCCTCTCTGGAGCCTAGGTCTATAGTAGACCCCACCTCCAGGCTTACTGAGCTCAGTACCATGAGGCCCAGCACTCTACCCCCTAGTACTTGAAGGCCCCGTCCTCATCCACAAAAGGGAAATAAGACTGCTCAGCTGTTCCCTCTCAGGGAACAGGCAGGGAGGCCCACAGCCTGCAGGAAGATGACAAGGAGCTTTGCCTCTCCCTTAGATGATTAGGCTTGGCTCCTGTCCCTGGGGCCCCACATGCTCAGAAGCTCAGTCGTGAGTATTCTGAAGAACTGGGCAGTGAGTGGGTGATGCTGGGAACAGCTTTGGCATGGGAGGTGATAGAAGCTTCTGGGGGCTGGAGGGTCTTGTGAGGGGTAGGTTGGGAGGTGTGTCAGTGGATCAAGTTCTGGGTTCTCTGAGGCTGAGGTTCCTATGTCAGTCTGTCAGAAAACTTCGGTGACCTGGGTGACATAGCCCTGCACAGGGTATCTATACAGACTGGGACAATATAAAGGAGAACTTGTTGGTGTCCCTGTCAAGTGTGTCTGTGGTTGGCTGAGGCTCCGTCTGGTCTTCTGGGCCTGGCCCTCCCAGCCTCACTCCCCCCAACCGCTTGCAGAGCTCATCATTTCTCTTTCATTTCCACTTTTTGCTGATGGGGCTGATGCGAGCTGGTGAGGATCAGAGCCCAGGGGGCTCCTGGCCCCTAGTGTCTTGATGAAGAAAATGAAACCTCCTCCAGGATGGGGGTCTTCACCGTGGAGGGTGGCCCCTACAGACAGCACCTTCAGGCTGGTGAGTTCCTGAGCCCATTACCGTCCCCAAGCTCTGTCCTCCCCGGCCCAACTCCAGCTGCAGATCACCCCAGACATTTCCTGTCCCCAGACCTTGGCTCGGTCTGGATAGCTAGCTCACAGGCTCTTCGTTCCTGGATCTCCAGATCTCTGGAGACGACTGAGGGCACCCTCAGGCTGGGAGGCTACAGGCAGGCCAGCTCTGGGGCTCGACTCACAGATACCCGCTGTGGCTCAAGAGCAGGTGGTGGTCCTGTAGGGATGGTGGCCCTTGGCAGGCCCTGGCCCCTGAAGAGTCTCTGGGCAGGCCCTGCAGCAACAGGCAGATCATACACAGTCCTTGAGGGATAAGTTCTGTCCCCAGGGAAGATGGAGTCAGGGCAGGCTAACAGGAGCCAGAGTTTCCTGTTTGCTCAAGTAATCTGTCACCAGACCCCCTCAAGATTCTGAAGAGCCTGCTCCCAGCCCCTGCTGGCAGCCCCTGAGTCCAGCCCCAGCTGACCCTGCTGTGCCAGGTCTGACACTGTCAGACAATGAGGGCAGAAGAGAGGTTAGGCAGGCCCAGGCTCTAAGCCTGTCCTATGAAGACACTGCCGCTGAGAGGCTGCTTCCCCCGTGCAAGGAGCAGAGCACGAACTGAGAACTGAGGCCCTGGGCCAGCCTGGGGGAGGGGGCGGAGGGATGGAGGGAAGATCCTCCCCTCCCACACTCATCCCTCCCAGGTGTCCTGTGTCTCCTTCTGAACTTCCTGCCCTGCATCTCTGCCCAGCCCGTGTGCAGAGAGAAGGAGTACCCTGTGGGCAGCGAGTGCTGCCCTATGTGCTACCCAGGTAGGAGTCAGTGCCGTGTCAGGGAGAGGCTCCTGTCCTGAGCCTTCTGGCCTCTGGGTCCTCAGGCCAGGGTGGTCCGTGGCAGCGTGCATTTCTCAGCCTCTGGGACCTTTGAAGCTGCAATGCCGGGGGTGAGCCTGGGGGATAGGACAGGCCCAGTGTAACCAGAGGCTGAGGCTGAAAGAGGCTGGGGTCAGAGCCTGGGTGACTTAGGAGGCCCATAAGGGCACATAGAAAGCAGTGGGGCCTTTGTTGGGGCCGGTGATATTCCTACTGGGGGACTAGGTGAGGGCGCAGGGCAGGCTTCCTCAGGCCGCCTCCACCACTGAGGAACTGTGGGCCCTGGCTGCAGGTTACCATGTGAAGCACCCCTGCAGTGAGCAGACAGGCACAGTGTGTGCCCCCTGCCCCCCGCAGACTTACACCGCCCATGCAAATGGCCTGAGCAAGTGTCTGCCCTGTGGAGTCTGTGATCCAGGTAGGCGTTCCTGCAGATGTGGGGTGCACTGGGGCGCTTGAGTTCAGGCATGGGTTCTAGAAGAGGGCCCTGAACCTGGGGAAACTCACTGAGCTGCAGGACTGATCTTCCCACTACTGGGAGCAGGGTCTCAGGGTGTCCACTCCTGTTTTGGCTAATGAGGTTCTCACCCCACTGTCTGCTTCTTCTTCTCCCCTTCAGCCAGGTTGGTGTGGGTGAGGACCTGCTCTCCCATGCATCGGTCTCTGGCTTGGGAAGGGTTCTCATGTGGAGTTGAGCATTGCTGGGGATTAATGCGCTCCTTACTTTTTCCATTCATATGAACGAATTCATGAAAGGGTCACCTGCTCCTGTTGGCTGCCTGGGCCTGGACAGTGAGGTGGCCAGCACTGCTGCTCCCATCAGAGCCCCACACTGTCCAGACACCATCCTAGGTGACCCCGTGTGTGTCACAGTGCCTGTCCTGACATGGCATCACTCCTCCCACAAGGGGACCGTGTGCTTACACACAGTGGGTGCAAAGGCATGTCTTCACTCCCACGGAGGACGACCTGTGTCTGCCACAGTGTGTAAATGGAGATGGTCTCACCCGCACAGAGGGTGAGCCTCTATACCCACACACAGTGCCCTCATGGGGGCAGCCTCACTCCTGTTCACACACTTCCTAAAAACAGTCGGCGCACACCTAGAAAGAGACAGCAGGCGGCTCCTTCCCATTGATGAGGACACAGACGCCAAGAGCCACCATGGCACTGTACTGGATGGCCCAGCCCACCAACTCCACACTCCCAGGGCCATGGGCACAGAGGTGGGGAGTCCTGCTTCCTGGAACAGGAGAAAACAGAAGCAAGGAGGATTCAGACTTGGCCAGAATCCAGGCTCCGGGCTCCCAACCACGCTGTGACCCAGTCAGTCCCAGACCAAGGAAGGCCTGTGCTCAGAACCGTTGGGCCTTGCCTGGCTCCCCTTATAGGACAAACCTGGTACCCCATGTGGTTGCTCAGCCTTGAGCCTCCATCAAAGGAGCAGGTGTACACATTGCGTACACTGGGACAGCTGGAGGCTGGGTGTCCCCACAAGTCCCTTGCTGGTGCTCCCATTGCCCTGTCTCTGATGGCAGACATGGGCCTGGTGACCTGGCAGGAGTGCTCCAGCCGGAATGACACTGTGTGCAGGTGCAGCCCAGGCTACTTCTGTGAGACCCAGGAGGGGGCCCACTGCTCCATGTGCTTGCCACACACCACCTGCCCTCCCGGACACAGGGTGCAGAGGAGAGGTAAGCCAGCTGCAGGTGGCTCCTGGGTGGCTTCCCTTGTTCCAGTGCCCCTGCTGCCTGCTGTCTAGAACTCCTCCAGCTTAGGAACAGAGCAGAAAGCATGGCAGCGGGGTGGGCAAGACAAGCCAGGGAATCTGGAAGATTGAGGGCAGAGAAAAGCCTTGCTGTTGAGACTCAGGAAGAGGGCAGAAGGCAGAGGGGAAGGCGAGCAGGAGCAGCACCAATGGCTGCCACTTCTGGTCTAACCTCGGCTGTGTGGCCTCAGCTCGGACATCTAGCAGGGAGCCCGACTTGTCGCGTAAACTGTGTCCAGCCCCATTACTCAGCTGGATGTGACTGAGGTCTGCCTCTGCCTTCCGTCTGGCATCCGACCAGGGCACCCAAAAGCGTTTGTGGGGTGAAGGTGGAAGGAACCCTGGGTAATTACATCAGGCCCTTTCCATGTCCATATGTCCTAAAACTGCCCAACCCCTTGTCACGCATTCTCAGGGTGCTGTCTTCCAGCCACAGAGCACTGTGTGCCGGAAGGCTCCAGAACAGGCAGCTTCCTGCAAGCCTGAGCCACGTTCCTCTGCCTGTCCTTCTCCACCTCCCAGGTACTTACAGCCAGGACACTGTGTGTGCCAACTGCCCAACAGGGAGCTTTTCACCAGGAGGGACACAGGAGGAATGTCTGCCCTGGACCAAGTAGGTGACCTGCACCCTGTGGAAGGAAGCACTTGTTCCCCTGGGAGATGAGTGCCCAAACCCAGCTGAGCTGCACCCTGGGTGGGCTGCGCTCAGAAGCCCCAGTGCAGAGAACATGGGGCTTTAGCCAGGACGGTACAGGCTGTGGCCAGTTCCCACCAGAGATGTGGGGCTTCCTGTGCTTCTGGAGCTGGAATGGGCACTGTAAGATGATTGTCTTAGTTAGGGTTTCTGTTGCTGTGAAGCGACACCATGACCATGGCAACTGTGATAAAGGAAAACATTTATTTGCAGCTGGCTTAGAGTTCAGAGGTGCAGTCCATTATCACCATGGGGGGGGGGAGCACGGCAGTGTGCAGGAAGACACGTTACTGGAGATGAAGTTTGGATTGGCAGGCAGCAAGAAGAGAGGGTGACACTGGGCCTGGCACATCAGAAACCTCAAAGCCCAGTGACACACTTCCTCTAACAAGGCCATACTCCAAAAGGTGTTCCTAATAGTGCATATGAGCCTATGGGGGCCATTTTCATTCAAACCACCACAATTGTGTCCTCAGGTGAGGTCCCTTCTCCACCTGAGTCAGGACCCCTTCAATGTGGGTCCCAGACCCTAGAGCCAACCTGAGAACTCAGGGTCTCTGATAAGAACTCTGAGGATAGCTAGGCTTCCTTGGGTGGCCAGGTGTGGCTTCCCGAGGGAAGGGAGCAGCAATCCATCCTCCCTGTCCTCAACTCTCTTCACTGCCAGTTCAGTCCCCAGCCTTGGCCCTAGCACCCCCTCCCTGTCCTCCCTCCTTTCCTCTTTCCTTCCTTCCCTCCTTTTTTCTCCCTCCTTTCCTCCCCTCATCCCTCCCTTCTTCCTTCCTCCCCTCCTTCCTTTCTTCCCTCCCTCCCTTTCCCTCCTTCCTTCCTTTCTTCCTTCCTTCTCTCCCTCTCTCTCTCCCTCTTTCCCTCTCTCTCTCCTTCCCTCCCTCCTTCCTTCCTTCCCTCCCTCCCTCCTTTCTTCCTACCCTCCCTCCCTCTCTCCCTCCTTCATTCTCTCCCTTCTTCCCTCCCTCCTTTCTTCCCTCCCTCTCCTTCCTTCTTTTCCTCCCTTCCTCCTTCCTTCCCTCCCTCTCTCCCTCCTTCCCTTTTTCTCTCCTTCCCTCCCTCCCTCTCTCCCTCTTTCCCTCTCTTCCTTCTTCTCTCCCTCTTTCATTCTTCCCTCCCTCCTTTCTTCCCTATCTTCCTTTTCCCTCCTTCCCTCCTTTCTTCCTATCCTCCCTCTCTCTCTTCTTCCCTCCCTACTTCCTTCCCTCCCTCCTCCCCTCTCTCCCTTCTTCCTTCCCTCCCTTCTTTCTCTCCCCCTTTCTCTCCTTTCTTTCCCTTCCTCTCTTCCTCCCTTCCTTCCTCTTTTCTTCTTTGCTAATGTTTCTACCCTGCTCCTTCACTTCTCTTCCTTATCTCTTATTTCTTTCCTTTCTCTGTTTCCCCATAAAGGGCTTAAAAACTGTGACAAAGCCTGAGTCCTGTCTCAGAGCTGTTGACCAACCAATTAGCCCTGAACTGCATGGACCTTGCCCCAGCCCTACATTGCTCAGGCTGATGACCTATCCCCACAGCCCATGTCATGTCCCATGACTGCTCTCTCCTAGGTGCAAATCATGGATTGAGAAAGAAGCGGAACATGGGACCAGCAGCACAGATGCCATTTGCTCCATTTCCTGGAGCTTCATTTTACTCATCCTTGTGGGACTTGTGATAGCTGGGCTAGGAATCCTCATCATCATTTGTAGGCAAAGAAGGCTGCACACCAGTGAGCAACACCCCATTTCTTCTAAGGCTCCCAAGAGTGGCCCCAGGGTCTTCGCAGGGCTTGGCTCTCTCTGCACAGTGGCTAGTAGTAGAGGCTTTCCTCAGAGCTCAGCTGTCGGGTGGCCTCTCTGGAAGCCCTCACTTCTTCCTTCAGCCCCTCTACTTTTGCCCTCTCTTCCTTCTTTCCTTCCTTTCATTGTCAGTCTTCCTCCTCTCTCATCTCAGCTGGGGCCTGCTGAGCTCAGCACTAAAGACCAGCTTGCAGACCAACTCAGGTCTGGGAAGCTCTGGGCCAAGCTTCAGGGAAGCAAAGCCAACAAGGACCAGGCAGGCCACACTCTTGTCAGTGAGGAAGCTCACCGCTGGGTGCCCATGGTGTGGGAGGTCTCTTCCCTAGGTTCTGTGGTGGGCTGGGTAGACCATCCCCTCTTTGCTCATGGTAAACTGGTTTGCCAACTCTGTGAAGTAGGAGTGTGGTGGACTTTGGCCTCCAGGAAGGTCGGACCTGTTCTTTCCAGGTGGGCCTCTTGTGGGTCGTGACACATGTCCAAAGCCCACTTCCTCTTCTCTTAGTGTAGGTCAGACTCTGGAGGTAGATCACACAGTTGGAAGCCAGAATGTGGGTTCTCCATTGTTGTGTGCTCATCTCCCCCGGCCAGTCTTGCTTCAGCCTATCCATGACCTGATGTCTTTGTGTTACAGGCCCAGAGGCCAGGGAGCTGGAGCCTTTCCAGGTATCATTGCTAGGGGTGTTTGAATTAGGGAGGAGGCTCCAACTGGCTGAAGGACCCAACCCCATGGTCTATAGCTGGACTTCACATGTCCCTGAGACCCATGCAGTCCCCGCCTGGTGCCTGAGGGGCAGGGATTCACCCTGGGTTTCTCTGGCAGGGGGACAGACAGGAGAACACTGTCAGCTTTCCAGTCACTGAGGTGGGGCTTGCTGTGACTGAGGAGAAGCCAGCCTTCAACTGTGAGAATTCTGGGTGACAAGACACCTTGGATGCCCTGGTGGGAAGCTTCCATATGCCTCGGAGGCATGGAAGATACCCTGGCCTGCTCCCATGGGCCCCTCCACCCAAATCCTAAGTGCTGGGATGAAGGCACACAGCACTATGTCAAACCTCTTAAGGGATTTTGGGGATGAATTTTGGTCCTTATGATGTGCGGTTACACCATTCCCACATCTTCAAAGAAACTTTCTAAATTATCTGCAGTTTTTTTTTTTTCTACTTGACATGGGAAATAAATATTTTTGTTACATGCCCTGTCTCTGTACACATTTTGTGCCTCATCAAACATTCGTCTGACCTGTCATTGTGATGGTGGCTGTGCCACACGACCCTGTTCCTGTGTCGTGAGGTCACTTGGCGAGGGGCATTCGCTGGCAGGAGGAGCAATCACCCTCATGGATGTGAAGGTAACCGTGGGTTTTTCTTCCTACTCTGTGGCTTTGATTTCATCCCTGCCATCTTTCCTGGCCCCAGTGCTTCTATGGGCACCCTTCCCAACGAGATTCCTTGCACATTTCACATCATCCTTTGGAAGTGGCTGCTGTCAAGCTGAGCGCTGCATTCTAGGCTTCCCTGTCCCCCTGCCCCAGTACAGGAGTACTGGGACAGTTCAGCAGTACAGTACGTCCAGCAGTTCTTCTCCCAAGAACTGTTTGCATTTAGGAGTTGAGACTGCGGCTAAGTGTGCTCATTCTGAGGGTGCGCAGAGGTTGGCCTTGAGTGTAGCTTGACTGAGTTCAGAGGCAACTGCGAGCTCAGTCAAGGACACTCAGGTGCCTCTGTGGAGCATCTCCAGGGATAAGCAGTCCTGTCCTGAGCAAAGGCACAACCATCCCACGAGATATGTCCAGACGGAAGGAAAAAAGGGAATGAAGTTCAGGAGAACCAACACTCCCCCTCTGCTCCCTGGCTGCTGTGAGCTGAGCCGCTGTGCTCTGCTGTACAAATCCATGTGGACCCCTGCCATACTGCAGGCCCAGGAGCAACTGAGCCAGTGACCACAGACACTGCTGAAACAGAGCCTTCTCCTTGAAATAGTTCCCCCAGGTACTTGCACAACAACAAAAAGTCTCCTTGTTGCTACATCACAGCTCAGCATATCTATCATTTTATCTCCTTCTTAGTCACTCTTCTATTGTTGTGAAGAGACACCATGGGCAAAGCAACTCTTATAAAAGAAAGGGCTTTCTCACAGTTTCAGAGGGTTAATCCATTATCATCATGACAGGAATCAGAGGCGTGGCCCTGGAGGAATAGCTGAGAACTTTGAATCCTTATCTACAAGCAGCAGGTAGACACACACACACAAACCCACACACAGAGGGGGCGGAGGAAGACGGAGAGAGGCAGGCCCTGTGGCCTTTTGAAACCTCTAAACCCCAGCGACCTGCCTCCTCCAATACGGCCACATCTCCGAATTTCCCCAAACAGCTCTGCTAACTGGGGGCCAAGCATTCAAACCAGCACAATCTCTGTGTCCATCTTTCTCGTCTGTGCATCTGTCATCCATCCGTCTCCTCTCGTTATCATCTATCTTTAACGTTTCATGCGTCTCTCTTCTTTATCCGGTATAACCTTGCTGCTCACCGCTCATCAGCCTGTGGCACACAGAGAGGAAGCAGTATGTTAAGGAAGTTGAGTGAGGAGGCAGATATGGACACTTTATACAAATTTGCTGTTTCAGGTGGGCTGCAGCTAGACTGCAGAATGAGAGAGCATGAATGTCTCACAGGACACCGGAACATGAACCTGGTGATCATGTAACACCCGGAGCCTCTGTCCTCCAGGGAGCCATGCCAAGCTGGGTGTGTGTTCACACGCACGAATGCAGCCTTCCTGACCTCACTGATCTGTGAGGTGCAGATGCAGACAGGTCAGATGCAGCCTGTGCAGACAGGCCAGATGCAGCCACTGACCTGTCTGGTCTGTTTTCTTCAGAGAGTCTCCCAGCAAACTAAAGGAGACAAAACCAGTGGCTTGTAACATGGGACCTTATGTGGGGACTTGGTGCCACCAGCAGACAGAGAGCACTTGATGCCCCTGGTGTGAGCTTGAGGTAAATTCACTTTTCTCTGGATCACTTTCTAAACTCTTCATTCTGATCTGAATTGCAGGGTTCAGTTTTCTGCCCCTTAGGCCCATATTTTGCCCAGTAAAATGTCCACTGTATTGTTGTAGATCTGTAGGCCTCTGGCTTTGCTCTGACTACATCTAGGGCCTGGTCTCCAAACACAACACTGAGGTTGCCCTAGAATTTTGAATTAACAAAGTAGATGTCAGAATCACTGGGAGGTGGGGGACTGACTGTTAAATAAGATTTGGGCGCAGTGGGGCCTGAGCGCTGCTTTTGGTGTTCGCAGAATGGGTGGGCCTACAACTTCAGGAGCAGAGACATGAGCCTGGGATCGATGCCTTCTGTTCTGCCATAGCAGAGCCCTCTTCTCTCTGCCCTCTGCCCTCCTGTAGCAGGACAGGGCATGCATGCTCAACCAGCGTAGACAGAGTTCACAGCCACTGGAATAAACTGAGGCCTGGGGCAGATGTGTAGCACCGTGTTCCTGGCTGTCTGAGGCCAAGGAAGACACTGGGGATGCCCAGTCTGGATCAACACTGGAGCCACGGGTCCCCAGAACCAGTACCTTCAAGCCCAGCTTCTCTTCTTCATGTGTGGTGTGACTCTTTCCTGGGAGATGTGAGGAAATGTCTCATTACCTACATAGGGCTCTGAAGGCCTTTGCCCTGCAGGCCCACCTCTGCTGTAATGGGGCCTCGGAGGTGCTGCCTCTGGAGTGTTCTGGGAATGAGGTGTGATCCACAGAGGCTGGGGTGAGGGGATGGCACCGAATGCCCAGAGGGCAGCACAGCGGCCAGTGGGAAGGAAAGGAAAGTGCTGAGGTTCATCTGAGGCCTGGGAATTGGGAAGGGCAGGACTCACTAACATGGAGTCTGCAGATAGCCATACTTGGAAAAGGGACAGAGCTCCAGTGAGCCCTGCACATTCACCTTTGTAGTCCTGACCGGAGGTTGGAGTTGAAGTAGAGAACAGAGTTATGCATGCTTCAGCAGTTGCTGTGGTCCCGCCAGACCCATGACTGCCTCTCCTGTGACATGACCTGACAGACTAAAACTCTGCTTTCTCTTTTGACTGGCTCAAGCTTTAGGCTCTCTTTTCTCATAATATGAGAGTTCTGAGGTAATTCCAGTCCCCGAGGACCCACTGCTTCAATAGTCTGAGAGTCAGTGTGAAGAACAAAATGTTTAGAATATCTTCCTCTCTGCCAGGCTAGTCACAGCTACACCGCAGGCCAACGGCCCCTAGAGCCCAAGAGCTAAGACTGGCCCATATAGCACAGAGCCTGTAAAACCATCTACACCAACCAACCCAGGCCAGGTCTTCAGCTTGTGACCCAGGGTCCCTGTGCGTCAACCAGGATTATTCTCTGTACCATAGAGTCTGGGAGGCCATCTATAACAGCCAAGCCTAGGCCTGCTCAATGGGCCTTGTCTGGCCATTTCCATGGAAACCACCTGAAGGCTCTCACCTGTAGGTACCTTGCTTCTTCTGCTTGCTGATCAACCCTGGGGCTTCCCCAGGTGGCCATTTGTGGCATGGGGGCAGGGGCTGTAGCAAGCCTTCTTCTCAATGGTGGTTTCCCCTGATCTGGGGCCTGCCACACTGCACCATGGTAGTTCCTGCACTGTGAGACAGGCCACAGGACTGGGCCTGTCTCTCTGGGTCAGTGGATGGCTAGAGGGACAGGGCAACCTTTGGCCACAGGGCTGGGTTTCAGCCTAGTTCTCTTCTTCATGGATTGTGTGACTTTTGCTTAGAAGAGATCAGCAAATGTCTAGTTACCCCAGAGAGGGCACTGAAGACAGACCAAAAAAGCCTGATACTCCCTAGATCTAGCTTTGAGAACCAGTGAATTTTTTTTGTCATGCACAAAGCCTGAATAACTCAAAGGCAGCTTTATTAGTGAAAAGCCCACCCCAACTTGAGTGACAGCTCAGGAAAACCATGCCCACGGAGCTCCCTGCTCTACTTGTAAGCATCTTGGCTGGCCAATGAACCTCCTCTCCCCAGCACTGGCCACTGCTTTTATCATCTTAGGGAGGGGTCATGTGAACCTTTTTAGGGTTTTAGGATCATCCTAGGCCATCTAAATTTCCTTTACTTCCCTGGCCTCCTCTCCTCCCTCCAGGAGGGGTTGCTTTATTTGGGAGGACAGCAGCAGAGGGTACACAGGTGTCCTATGCAGGCACGTGGGCTCCTGAGCTCAGAGCAGCTGCCGTGTGTGACCACAGGGAGATCTGTGCTGTGGGTGGAGGAGAGCCAGCGTGAGGGGAATCACGGTTAAGCGTGCTGTGGGTGGAGGAGAGCCAGCATGAGGGGAATCATGGTTAAGCGTGCTGGCTGTGGCGCACAGGCCTGCATTCACACAGCATTCTCCCGACTCAGGGGCATAGACTCCTCCACCCCAGAGCCTCCCTCCTGCACATCAGACTGGTTTTCTCACTTCTTGATGATGCGGGGAGAACCTGGGTGTGGTGGTTTGAATGGGAATGGTCCCCATGGGCTCATCTATTTGCACGCTTAGTCCCCAGTTGAACTGTTGGGAAGGGTTAGGAGCTGTGGCCTTGCTGGAGGAGGTGTGTCACGGGGGGGGCGGGCTTTGCGGTCTCAGAAGGTCCACACCAGGCCCAGCGTCTGTCGCTCCCTCTCTCCCTGCTGCTGTGTGTCATGGAGGTCTTCCCCTGCCCTGACGATGGTGGGCTAATCCTCTAACACTGTGAGCAGGGCCCCAATTAAAGCTTCCTTTTTGTAAGACTTGCCTCGGTCAGCGTGTCTCCTCACAGCCATAGAAAGGTAACTAAGATACTAGGTTGGCACGTGGGGGTCCAAACTGTGTCACTGTGTCACAGTGCTCCCGGCTGCTGCCTGTGGAGTGAGCCCTGAGGGTGACCTCTAGCTGCACTCTTCCTTGATCAGGATCTACCACTCCAGGAGGAACTCCTTTCCCTGTCTAGTTTTGTTTTTGTCTTTTTGAGGGTTTCTCTGTATAGCCCTGGCTGGCCTTGACTCAGAGATCTGCCTGCTTCTGTCTCCTGAGCGCTGGGATTAAAGGCGTATGCCACTACCCTGCCCTTTCCACATCTATTGTCTAGGCAAGAGGACTCAGACAGCATGGAGAGGTGGCCACAATTTGAGGTTCCCAGGTCCTTGCTGTGTCCGTGTATGAGCACATGGGG